GTGTATTTCTTATTATTGTATTGTGTGTTATATATATTCTATTTTGTTCTATTGAATGGGTGATTATTATATGTTATTGTTATGTCGTAGTATCGGTCTAATATTATTCGTATGATGAGAAGATGTTATGTTCTGTCTATGTATTATATTCGTATATATCGTATTATGTGTATCTCTGTGTGTTGGTATATCTATTCTATATATATTGATTTATTATGTTGTATGTATATTTCATTTGATATTGTATAGGAAAGAAGTCTGGGATTCTGATAATGTTTTTTGAGAATTTGCAAATGGTGGTTATATGTTGTATTTATTTGTATATTGTATATTGTATGTATATGTATCTATATATAATGTATGTATGTATATTTATATTATTGTTGTTTATTGTTTATATGTTACGTTGTTGTATATTATGTATTATTGTATATTATGTTGTGTTATGTGTTTTATGTATAGGTATGATATATTATTTATTTGTATGTGTCTCAAATGATTGGTTGAGAACTATTGTTACTATCATGAATCTCTATACGTGACGGCAAGGATATTTTGTTGTATGTTCATTTCTGAGTGCAGAATAATCATTTGGATGCACTGGTAATGGCTTCTGTTTAGCCAATTTTCTTCTATCTTATTGTTTATATTATATTTCTTGATTATATTCTCTTATCTCTACACCTAGAAGTCTTGTTTGCTCTTATATCGTTTAGCTGATTCCCCTTCATTATCAGAACGATTCATTTATGTTTTATATAATTCTGTATTATGTGTTTTATTATCTTCTCTTATGTCGTTCTGTATTATTTATATTTCTTCTATATATATTATTAATATAATCATGTTTTATTATTAAATCTTGTGTTATATATATATTTATCTATATATATATAAGTTATGTTATATATATTATATATTATTTATATATTGTGTATATATTAAATATTGTATATATGTATATATTATTTATATTCATTCTATTATATATATATTTTATGTATGTATATGTATTTGTATTGTATATGTATTATATATATGTTATATTGTGTATGTATGTTTATATCTATGTGTGTTATATATATTTGTGTCTAATATCTGTTCTGGAGCATGATTTTTTTTTTTTTTTGTTTGTATGTGTATTATATATATATATCTGGTATTATATGTATAATATGTGTGTGTTGTTCTGATTGTCTATATGTGTTGTACTATGTATATGTGGTTGTATATTATGTATATATATATGTATTGTGTAATAGTATGTGTGTCTGTTATTGTAGTGTGTGTCTATGTCTGTATGTGTTAATATCTATCTATTGGTGTGTGTCTCTCTCTATTGCGGGCGTGTGTTGCATCTCGTCGCACGGCAACGAAAAATTTGGACGTGCGGCGATGGGGGGTAAAAGACAGGGAGCAGTAAAAGCGTTGCCGTGCGAAGCTGTAACAGGATGCATCTTATAGTCTAGCTGCGCGAAACGCGCGTTATTTGCCAATCTTTCTTAATAATTTCTAAATAAATATTGCGAAAATTGCAAAGTGGTAAAGAACTTTCCTGTTCAGTTTATTATGCCCTACCTGCTCATGAATGTTGGCACATATGTATGAAACACCCTGTATAAATTTATATACAAGATGTTCGGCAATGACCGCATAATCTCTCGTGGACTGATAGAGAAAGTCAAACCGAGTAGAAAGTCCTTTAGCATTTTTGTAATTTTTGCAATAATTATTGAGAATTAATTAAAAAAGATTGACATATTTTGACATAAAATACAAATATCTCGTAAGTATTTAATTTTCAATAATCTTACCGTAATACTTTTATGCACAGATAGTGAGACAAATCAATTGGCGCAAAGAAAACGCATAGTTGTCTTGAAAAAATATATGACACTGCATGTTGCAAATTGCATACAATTTTTTAGAGACAACTAGAGGCGTTTTTCTTTGCATCAATTGATTTATCTCACTATTTTGTGCATAAAAGTATTAAGGTAAGATTACTGAAAACTAAATATTTTACGTGATATTTTGTATTTATGTCAAATATGTCAAAATCGCAAAATGGTACAGTACTTTTCTACTTAGAAACCGCTCTACCTGTACAACGAGAGGTTTTTATACTATTTGAGATCCCTGTATAAATCTATATTGTTATCCAAAATATAATATATACATGTAAAATAATAAAATGATCTATGTTCAAATCATGAAGTAAAAACACTTCCTCCAGTCCTATTTGACGCATGTATAATATTTTGAATACAGATGTTTTATGTTTGTTTAGTTTTCATCAACTTTAAGAAATACAAAAATACATGGAATAATTGAAACAAATATATTTATAAACAAATTTAGAATGACAGTTTCATAAGATCAAAGTTACAAATGTAAATAATCGAGGCAAAAAAAAAATGAGCCAAACGCGGATGGTAGTGCATTGAGCTTTGTAGAAAATTAATTTTTCTACGAAGCTAAATGCTGTGCACAAGGCACAAATTTTCTTGGTACATTACCAAGCATATAATTTAAATGTTCTCCACTCGAAATGCAATTTAAATATTTTTACTATTACAGTATTAAACATATTATGTCCTTACTTGTTTGTAATTGATTATGTCTCAATTTAATTTTTGCCGGTAAGTGGATGATGTTTCAGGAAATTCTAAATCCCAAAAACCTGTACAAAAATTTCACGTTTTATCATATATATGTATTATGTATATATATATGTATTATGTATAACATATGGAAATACACAACACTTATGGGTACCTTCTGGTGTATTTGGTCTTTCGTATCTATGTCGGTGACGCGAGACTTGATTTTTCCGTTTCTTTAACTCTTCTCCCATCAACGACAAATTCTTATAATACTGAAAAATAAAAACAATATTAGAAATTAATTTCTTTTTTTGTAAAAAAATGTGCTTTATGCAATTATATGTATATTATTTGTTAATCTATTACCTGTTTGCATTCCCAGCATCCCAGCCATCTATTTTTGCTTTATCCTTTGCGTCGCATATTAAGTTGCTCTGGGATGTTTTTTCTTTCTTCTTTTCCTGCAAATAATTTTTTATTTTATGTATCAGATGGGCAAAGAAAATTACATTAACTTGTATTAAAAAATATTTACCTGTCTTTCTTCAGTAATATTTCCACAGGTAGTCTATTCTCCGTATCACATAAATTGATGTCATTCCTCTTTAATTTCTCTTTTAAACGTCTAGCTCTATTACATCTACTCTCTGTAGGACTGAGCTCTATTACATCACCCTCGACAGTTTCATTGGTGCTTGAAGTATTACTTTTCGAAGTAACAAATACTTTTTCTAGAGGAATATCACTTATGGAATTTTCTTCTGTTTTTGGCAATATGCTAGCTGGTTTATTTGGCAATAATATCTTCTTTTCGTTGTGCTTTGCTAGTTGAAACACAAGTCGAGATTGCTTCATCAGATTCTTGTCATATGTTCTAGGATATCCACGGAATAATATTGATGGACTTCTTGGTGGACTGGTAATTTTCTTGTCAGAATCGATGAAACTCGTATTCAATGTATCTAATCCCAAAAAAGGTCTATCAATTTCTACAGAAATACGTTTTTGTATCATTGTTCTTCTTTTTCATGCGCTTTTGCATAGTAAGTTATTGATTCGTCATTGATGAGCTAATAAAAAATACATTGTAAAAATAAGAGTAAAGAATTGTAACTTATAGTAACGTATGAGTGCAGTGTGAGTAGCAACAAAATGTAAAGATACAATTTTGCTTACCTTTTTACATTCATTACCCACGGGCACATTCACTTCACTGTCAGTTAATTTTAATGTCAAAAGTCTGACTCAAACTTATGAATGTTATGTATATCAAGCACGGAAATACTGTGAATCCTGCACTGTACGTATATGGTATACAGCGAAGTTATATATTAGGTATATATTAGTGGGATTATCTGTTAGGAAGCAGTTTCGAACATGTTTATTAAACAATTTTAACTCTAAATGACTTCAATAACACGCTCTTAAGCTATGGACCTCGAGTCATTGGACACCCTGTACATAAAATTAACAATTTTTACAGTAACAAATATTATGTTGTTATATTCCTATTTTGCAATAAAATGTAAAAAGAAAAATATTTTTTATGTAATTTTTACTGTAAACGTACCATGTATAATAAATAAATCCCCACACATTAAAAAGCATATTCATAATTAAAAAATTTTTAAATTCTAAAGAGGACCGCTCCCTCATGTGAATAATAAAGATGTATGAAATATGTACAAAAAAGAACAAAAATAATCTTTTCCATAAATCAAAAGTAAAAATAGCGTAAAAACAAAACATTAAATAATTGAAAAATCTATTATTAAAAATTTATAGCAGCTACTACAAACTTATATATGTCAGTGCCTTCATTATTGCTACTATTATCACTTTTATCGGTTTCAAAAAATGGCATTCTGTAACATTTTGTTACAACATTTGTTAAAGGTACAATTTCATTATTAAGTAATTCTGAACATAAAAAAAATTCAACTTTATCAGATAAAATGCCAACATCATAAAAATGTTTAACGTATTTAAATTTTTTTACAATAAAATAATATTGTTCATCCGCTATAAGAATATTTTGAATCAAACAAATTGATGAACATTTCAAAAGACAACAGTTATTGTTAAGACGAAGACTAAAAATCATGTTATTGTATTCTAATTTTCTATATTGCTTACAAAGAAGAAATATTTCATTTTGAATTAATGGACCAGATTCATGTGATTGTGATACTCGAATGTGATTATTCATTGTCAACTTTTCATAGTGTATTGATTGTCCATGATATTCACTCATTCTTCGAATAAACTGCTGCAAAGGAAGATGTGGCTTTCTGATATATTTTCTGATAAATGGAATTTTATTCTCAAATGGAAAAGTAGAAATGGTGTCTAAGGGTCCGAATCTTTTGACATCTTCTGTTAAATGTAACAAGCCATGAATGTTGTAAGATATAAAATCTTTGCCGTAAATATTCTCAGATAATAAAACAAATTTTTTTAATGCAATATCAGAGAAATGCAATAATTTTTGTGAATATGTTGAAGATATTAATATACGTATTGATGTATGAAGCAACAAGAAATGCAAATAAACATCTTCTTGCAATATTCCACTTAGTACAACAGGACTTGTATATAGTAAGAATTGTCGGAATTCTGTGGCTTTATAATCTCTCCAATCTTTCAAAGATCTTGGTGGTCGAGAAAATTCTACCGGACAATATTTCTGTATACTTTCCAATCTTGAAGATATCAAGTCAATATGTCTAGCAGATAATTTAGCGGATTTTGTAAAATTTCCAATCAACCATGCTTTACAAAGTCTTTTTACCACGCCTAGACACACTAAATGCATGTAATCAAATGGTACTTGAGATACCATATTTAATGGAATTTGTAACAGAGGACTAATTATCTCATTATTATGATGATTACTATATATCCATTGTGCGTATTCATTATCTGTACGAGGCTCATGAATTGTACCAAGGAAAGACATTACTCCATTTAAATAAAGACCTGAAACTCTACATTTAGAACAAGGATACTTGGCATTGTGAGCTTTATGATTTAAAATAAATGCTCTAGCAGGAGCATCGGCTATAAAACTCCTATAAATAATAGGTATTAATTTATTTCGATAAACAATACCTCTAGCATTAGAAATTTTTTTTATTTCTTCAATAAAATATTTAAAAAATATATTTGGATTATTAGGTTTTTTATAACCTTTGTATATTCCAACTATTCCAGGACTATTATCAGTTATATTGTAAATTCGAAATTGAATAGGCCAAATTTGAATTTTTCCATTACGATGTAATTGTGCTCCATCAGTACTAATATCTATCTCTAAGGAAAGTGGAATTGCATGAGAATGCATGTTAGATAATTTTGCAATAATAGATACTTCGAAGCCAATATGAACATATTCTCCATCTTCAAATTTTACAATTTCTCCAGTATTAGAAGGAGTCTTTAAAAGAGTGCGTACATCCTTAGGTAAATATGAAAAACAAGAATGAGAAATTAATACTTTTAATATTGCATTTCCCTGAACATGAGTGAAATTATTTTGAACGAAACAAGAAGCTAATTGTTTTTGGAAATTATCAATTATTTCAATATTGTTGTCGTCAGAATAATCACATTCTTCATCAGTATAATTACGGTTAATCCTAACATCCTCATCAGAATCTATTTCAGAAAATTCCGCATTAGATTCTTCATTTTGAAACGGAAATAATTCATTATTCGAAGAATTTACATCTAAACATAAAGATTCATTGCACATTCCATCTTTTGTATTCACTTGAAACAGATAATCATCTACTGATCTTGTATTGTATGTTTTTTCATGTATCGTTCTGTTATGCTCATTTTCCTTGATTGCTTTCTTTATTCGCTGTTGTTGACGAACAGAAAGGCAATTAAATGGCTTCTGAGATGGACGATCATAAATCGTCTTCATTGTGGAATAATCTCTAGGCTGTAATTTATAAATAGTCTAGTTTATAAAATTTTTAAAAATTTATAACTAAAATTCTCTAAAGTTTTCAAATATATTGTATTGCAGATTACATTAAGGCAGGAATCAGTTTAAAGAAGAACTACAGCTTCTATTGAGAATTAAATATAATAAAAGAAAATATTAAAATATAAAAATCAGAACTGAAAACGTCGATAAACTCGGATTATTATTACATATAGCTTAATTGCATCACCTATTCTTTTTATGAAAATAAGAATACGAAACAAAACAATACAATATAAAGAATACAAAAAATACAAGAAAATGATTGCAAATTTACTGAAAATATATAGTTATATTTTTCTATCTTAAATTTTATAAGTAACAATATAAAAGAAAATATGACATATTTTATAATTTTAATTTATATATACATATATATACTTTCAAAAACATATATATATATATATATGTTTCAGAAACATCGAGCCAACGCTTGTGAGCAGGTAGAGCGAACCAAACTGAGTCAAAAAATCATGTACCATTTTGCAATTTTCGCAATAATTATTGAGAAATTAATTTAAAAAGATTTGACATATTTTGACATAAAATACAAAATATCTCGTAAAGTATTTAGTTTTTAATAATTTTACCGTAATACTTTTTTGCACAGAATAGTAAGACGAATCAATTAGTGCAAAGAAAACGCTTAGTCGTCTCTAAAGAAATTGTATGCAATTTGCAACATGCAGTGTCATACATTTTTTCTTCGAGACAACTATACGTTTTCTTTGCACCAATTGATTTGTCTGACTATTCTATGCATAAGAGTATTACGGTAAAATTATTAAAAACTAAATACTTTACGAGATATTTTGTATTTTATGTCAAAATATGTCAAATCTTTTTAAATTAATTTCTCAATAATTATTGCAAAAATTACAAAATGGTAGAGAATTTTTCTACTCGATTTGACCTTCTCTATCTGCCCATGAGAGATGGGGCGATTATTACCGGACACTTTGTATAATTCTCTTAAGTCATATTAAAGATTCAATACTTTATCTTTCAATATATCATACAAATTTATTTCATATATGTGTAATCATTTGAAATCATAAGAAATTATGACAAAATATAAATTATGTAATAATAATAATTATGATTATAACATATAATAATGCATGTTCTTCGTAACAAAATGTTAAGGCAATTGAAACACCGTATATGAAGCTCACATAAGCATATAATAGATTGCCTGTATTGTGGAAATCGGTTTTCAAAAATGCACATGCCACACATGCATATATCGTTCAAAATATAAATTATAAGGTCATTGAGACGCAAACGTAAGTATTTTTCACCTTAAATACTATTTTCTTTATTTTCTTCATATTTCCAGTATAAAAATAACACAAATAATTTGTATATATTTTTATATTATTTTATTCTACATTAAATCTATACATTACTTTTATATAAATTCCTGTCATTTTTAAATATTTTCTTATACTATAAATTATATGCATAACTAGCAGTTTTTAATTTTTGAATGTTTTATAATTTTGTTAAAAATAGTAATAAATTTAATTGTGTAATTATATAATTTATTAATAATATTTTATATAATTTATTGTAGAATTAAATTCAAAATTCAAAAAAAAAAAAAACTAAAACTTTATAAAATTATAAAACATTCTACAATTACAAACAGCTATATACAATTAATAGGAATTATAACAATTATAGGAAAGTTTATAAAAATAACAGGAATTTATATAGAAGTAATGTATAGAATAAATGTAGAATAAAATAAAATAAAAATATATACAAATAATTATAATTTGTTTTATGCTGAAAATATGAGGAAAATAAATAAGATAGTATGCAAGGTAATATATATAATATATAATATATTATTACATATACAATATGACAACTGTCATAAAGATTTTTTTGTATATTTATTTTCTATGCAATAATGTACTTGACAAAAACATGACATCTGTACACAGAGAAAATTTTATATTACATATATTCTATGGTGCCGCACTAACCTGTGACTAACCAAGAAATTATAAGTTTAAGTGCTATGGCGACAAAGTGTCGCCATAGTAAATAAATTTATAATTCCTTGATGGTCCACAGTAGCACGACATCATAGTAATATGTAATATAAAATTTTCTCCGTGTAGGAATATGACATTTGAAGAATTATACTTGTCCCTGTGCTTTATCGAAAAATTATATAAAATATATAAATAATAAAAATGTTTGTACACTTTAAAACACAACATATAATTATAATTATAATCACGACATTAAACATGCAATATTATATTTCTTGCAATAATCCGCAATCGATGTAATCCCTCGAGTGACAGACATCAATTGCTGCAGATATATTTGACAATAAAATAGTTTTTTGCCATGTACATTATTTTTCTAAAAACACTTATACAGAAAAACACACCATCCAAAGTACAACTGCATGATTTTAACTTGTAAATCGTTATACAATTGAAAATAAGGTTAACAGTATATGAATCCAATATTATTAAATACATTTACCTTCAATTAATTATATCACCTTCAATTAATTATATTTACCTTCAATTAATTATATCACCCCAAGCTGGAAATAACAGAATAAATATCTGTAAAAGAAAGTAATAATTAATCCCCGTAATTATAAGACATATTAAAGCTCTCAACAATAATAGAAAAATAATACCGTGATAATATAATAAGAAATTACGAATTGTAAATTAAAATTTGAATACAATAAAAATATCATTGAAATTATATCTTATTTAGAAGGACGCTGTGAAAGTGTGAAGTTATAATAAGGATTTCATATAATAATGTTAAAATATTTAGTATTATCTAAAATGCGCGTACTTACCAGCGAAACAGTATTCAAAACGTGCAGTCTAATGCAGGTGTCACAAATATATAAAATATGTAATAAAACGCGTAATAAAAGTAAATAATTATAACTAATGCACACATGGCACAGCACGAGGCACGAGGCACAATGGCACAAAGCGTTATAGTCAGGTTAGGGTTAAGGGCCTCGCACATGAAATGCATAACAGAACATAAGCGTAGCATAAGACCGTTGGACCAATGAGCATCGAGCATCCAGCAATATGGCTTTATGCTCGAAGCTTATTGGTCCAACGATTTTATGTTATGCTTATGTTCTGTTATGCATTTTATGTGCGAGGCCCTTTAGGCGGAGAGTACGCACTGCCGCGGATGCCATAAATTTTGAAAATTTGTTTCTGCTTACAACAAATAACAAAAATTAATATATTACCTCATATACATGCATAATAAATTTAAATGTTAAATGTTACATTTAGAAAAAAATATGTATATTTTTATTATTGAAATTTATTAATTATTTAAATTTATTATTTATGGTATATGACATAATAAATTAATTTTTCTTATTATAAGTAAAAACAAATTAATTTTCAAAATTTATTATAAAGTTATAGATATATGTAATATATAAATTTATATATATATATATATATATATATATATATATATATATAATAAAATTGTATGAAATGTATTTTATTACTTATTAATTTAAATATACAGGGTGTCCCACAACTACCGCCCAATATTTTTATAATATATTCTTGAGATAAAATAGAGTAAAAAACCTTAATACAAAAATATCGAGGCTACAATAGTTTTCGAGTTAAAAGCGATCAAAGATTGCCAATGAGATTGTGTAGAATCGGCGCGCTCAGGCCCGTAACGCGTACTACACGGAAGCGCGTATCGATCGGTCAATGCTGATTGTTACTGTTATTGATTTTTACGGATCAGCAGATATTCATCAATCAATTAATATTAAAATATTACTTATAATAGAAAATTATATTTCTTTTGATGAAATTTTTAATTTTTCAAAATAATCTAAATAATTGTTTTTAAGATATACATTTAATTATAATTATTAACGTAATTTTATAATGAGAAATTATTGAATAATTTGCGTCTTTTAATGTATGATTATTAATATCAATTTATCAGTATTTAAATTAGACGATCGTCTTGCGACTAACGTAGAACCAGCCTAAGACGCGCAAACTGCGCGCAAGAAATGTTATCTGGGTGCCTGCGTCCTGCGTGCACTGCGCGTTCAGGATATGTCCGTTTGGACACAACGACTGCAAGCAATTTACGAGCAAATATGGTATCCATTTGCATGTGATTCGCTGGTGTACATGAGCTTAACCAACTTGCGGGCAAAACTCACGCAAACCGCGTACACAGTTTATATACATAAGACGCGCAAACTTTGCGCGCAAGGAATGTTATCTGGGTAAACGTGTCTTATCATTCTGTTTGATTTTGATGAGTAAAGCAGAAAGGCTTCATAATATCTATTAAATAAAAGCTGTATTTAATCATAGTATTTGCCTGTTCTTCATTCTGCTACAATTTAATACTCCCACTATGATGCTCAAAAAGGTAAATAATAAAAAGTGATAATCATTCGATTTACTTGCTTTTAAATTACATATTGTGCAATTTTTCTAACTTTATTTCATTATATTAATTTTCTAACTCTATTGAATATTTTATTTATAAATAGAGACTGATATAGGTCAATACTTCAATATATCCATCTCATTTCACATATGAAAATGTAACAAATTGCATTTGCAAAGAATAGATCTTACAATAGCTATAATAATTATGTGATTTCTTGAATAAATTTTTTATATGTTTGATATCATGTTCATACAGCTTGATATTAAATTTCAGATATTCACTCCAACAGTATACAAAACAATGGTACGTTCATACTCAGCAGCTGCTGAATCCGTCCAAGGATATAATTTTGGTTAGTATATATATTTGAGAATAAATTTTTTTTCTTTTGAGTAAGAAGAATCTAGTTCCTTATTTTTAAAGCAGTTTTTAAGGTTACAAATAATATACTTTAAGTATGGAATCGCATAAGCACTTGAAGACTGATTATTTGAATATATTTGAATATATTTGAATATATTTATTTAAGTTTTTTCAAGAAAATAAAATTGTTATTTTATATACAATATTATATAGTAGAATATTAAATATCAGAGAGATGAATATTAAAGATTAAAAATCTGAAATAAAATTTGTTTTATTAACATTATTGTTTTTCAATATCTTAATTTATTTTTTTATAGATAAGTTATTCAAAATATTTAATTTTAATTTAAAAATAAAACTTTTAACACTTTTGTGAATTTTGTATATATTTTTTTTCAATAACACACATTATATATGCCTTACAATAAATCAAATATAAACATACTTACATACATACAGGGTGAATCATAATGGTTGTAACAACCTTTTACCATTAGAAATCAATTATCGACTGCAACTGTAATCAATCGAATAATTCATAGATGACAGCTGCTTGGATCGACCGTGTCTGCAGTAACGTACAAGCGAGTTAAATACTGTGAATCAAATAATATACATATTCTATGCATACTTTTCTAATATATTTAACTCTTTTATGTACATATTTTTCTTTCTACACGGTTTTTTTCTAATAACGCGATTTCTTATTATTGTGAAATGTATCTGTCACATAAAAAGAGATATCTTTTGCATTCGTGTATTTTTTAATACGATTTTTTTTAAATAATGGTATTTTAATACATAGAATTTGACGGCGATTTTTTCCATTCTTACACAAATCATTTTAACGTGTAAAAAGAGTTGGATTGGTAAACGATACAAAAGTATTCTTTTTTTATAAAAAAAAAATGCGTAATTCTACTTTCTACAAGAAATATTCTGCTGTAGATATTAAGAATGTAAAAGTTATAACTTAGAAAATTAATAATAAGCAGAATAATTCTTGTAGAAAGCAGAATTACGCATTTTTTTAATAAAAAAAGAATACTTTTGTATCTTTACCAATCCAACTCTTTTTACGCATTAAAATGATTTGTGTAAGAATGAAAAAAATCGCCGTCAAATTCTATGTATTAAAAAATCATTATTTAAAAAAAAATCGTATTAAAAAATACACGAATGCAAAAGATATCTCTTTTTATGTGGCAGATACGTTTCACAATAATAAGAAATCGCTATTAGAAAATCGTTATTAGAAAAAAACCGTGTAGAAAGAAAAATATGTACATAAAAAAGTTAAATATATTAGAAAAGTATGCATAGAATATGTATATTATTTAATTCACAGTATTTAACTCGCTTGTACGTTACTGCAGACACGGTCGATCCAAGCAGCTGTCATCTATGAATCATTCAATTGATTACAGTTGCAGTCGGTAATTGATCTCTAATGGTAAAAGGTTGTTACAACCATTATGATTCACCCTGTATATTATTTATAAGCATACATTTTATTACTTTGTGTAAAGAATTTTATCCATTTTATCTTTATTCATTTTTATCTAAAAATCTGCAAAAATAAATGATATATTTATATTTTCATTTATTTTATTTATTTCAATTATTTTATTTATTTCATTTATTTTATTTTTTTCAACAGGTGAAAAATACAATTTTTTTAGATTTTAATTTCTGTGACAAGAAATTTTATAGTTATATAGAAAGATATCTACATTATTATATATATTACCAATAAGAATAGAAATTATTATTATTCTCTTACATATAAATGTTGTGTAAAACATTGCAGATTTACATATTGTCCTATATTACATATATATTTGTATTATATTATCTACATGAATCATTATTATTTGATTAAAAAAGCACTTTTTTATTGAATTGTTAGAATTATCTGATACTCAGAGAGAAATGCAAGACCTAGCCCGGAAATTTGTTAAAGAAGAAATTATCCCAGTAGCTGCAGAATATGATAGAACTGGAAAATATCCATGGGATGTAATCAAAAAGGCATGGAGCCTTGGTCTTCTGAATAAACATATTCCACAACATTGTGGTATGTTTGACCTTGTTTGATATATTTACAAAGTCAGGAATAAAAAATGATATATCTAAGAATAATATAATCTGTCAATGTCAAAATAAGATTAAAAATTATTTATATTGCAGGTGGTTTGGAAAGTGGTAATTTCGATGGTTGCCTGGTTACAGAAGAATTTGCTTATGGTTGTACAGGAATAACAACTGCAATAGATGCTTCAAGTCTTGGAGTTAGTTTTTATATTTATTATACATACTTCACTTTCTTTGTCATATTAAATTTCATGAAGATATTTCCTAATCAAGGTACTTAATATATTAAGACAAGATATTGAAACTTTTTGCTCTTATTTATTCAGCAAACTCCAGTCATCATAGCTGGAACCAAGGAACAACAAAAAAAATATCTTGGAAGACTTGTAGAGGAGCCACTTGTTGCGGTGCGTCAAGTTTGCAAATACATTTATATATTTAAATATTTTTCTGATGTAATGTATAAATTATATAAATATTATTTTAATTATTATAAATATTATTTTTTTACAGGCATATTGTGTTACTGAACCTGGTGCAGGCTCTGATGTAGCAGGCATTAAAACTAAAGCTGTGAAGAAAGGGAAAGAATGGATAATTAACGGCACAAAAATGTGGATTACAAATGGCGGTGTTGCTAATTGGTATATAATAATATATTTAAATATCTAACATTAATTTATAGGGAACGTTTATTTTTTTAACATAATCTTTCATTATATAGGTATTTTGTATTGGCGAAAACAAATCCTGATCCAAAAGCTTCAGCTAGTAAGGCTTTTACAGGTTTCATCGTAGAACGTGACAGTGATGGTTTAACTCCAGGTCGTAAGGTAACCATAGATAATAATTTTTTGTTATCTTATTTCAATGTCTTAATGTAAATTTTTATTAGTCTGTATTAACTTTTTCATTTCTTGAAGGAAATGAATATGGGACAAAGAGCAAGTGACACACGAATGGTAACATTTGAAGATGTTCGTGTTCCTGAGGAGAATGTATTATTGGGAGAAGGTCAAGGTTTCAAGATAGCTATGAAAACTTTTGACAGAACTCGAGCAGCGGTATATATTTCTATTCATAACATTCTTTAGATATTGAATGAATTCAATGTAAAAGTTCAATGTTTACAAATTTATCTTCAAATTTATATTATAGGTTGCAGCCGCAGCTGTTGGTTTAGCTCAGAGAGCTCTGGATGAAGCAACGAAATATGCATTGGAACGCAAAACATTTGACAGACCGATAGCAGAGCATCAAGCTGTTGCTTTTATATTGGCTGATATGGCTATTGGTGTTGAAACTTCCAGAATGTCATGGATGAAAGCAGCTTGGGCTGCTGATAAAGAATTATCAAACGCTACAATGCTCGCAAGTATTGCAAAATGTTATGCCGCTGATGTAGCTAATAAATGTACTACCGACGCTGTACAGGTGAATACAGTAATTTATATTTCTTCTCTGCTCTCTAATAAAAATATTTGAAAAATATATACATATATGTCCCTTACATCTTATTGCACACAATAATTTTCTTTTTCAGATTTTTGGCGGTGCAGGATTTAATTCCGAATATCCAGTAGAAAAACTTATGCGTGATGCCAAAATCTATCAAATATACGAAGGTACTTCGCAGATTCAAAGGTTGATTATATCACGTGCTCTTTGCAGTGAAGCTAAACAAAAAAATAATTAAGAGAAATAATCATATTATAAGAAATTAGAATACAAGATGTTTAAATATTTTCATAGGAAACTTTACCATGTAGAGTTAAGAAGCAAATTTGATATTCTTTTTTAAATTTTATAATGAAATTTCAATTCGATATATTTTGTCTATAAATTTATCAAAATGTGAAGAATGATATATTTTTATATTTTTGTAAGTGTCTGTACGCCGCAATTATATTTGTCTTTAAATAATCTATGTAAAGTTTAGACATGAATATTTAAATGATACAAGATGATATATATATTAAGATATAAATTGGAATACATATTAAGATATATAATATATATTAAGATATAATTTGTATGGTGCGTTTTTATTTGAAAAGTATATTGTAAATATTAAAATGAAAACTGTAACTGCAGAAATATGTATTTTTATCATGTCTTCACATATCCTTATATATATATGGATATATATGTATATTTCATTTATATTAGATTCTTTAAACAATTTGATACTTATTTCTTTTATAAAAAAATTCTACTAGTATATTTTGCATATACAATAGTTTATGTTTATACAAACCCAATTTTTATTAGATTTTTTAAAAATAATTTATTATAATTTTAATAATTCATTATATTTAAAAGAGAAAGATTTTAGTAAGACATTTAAAAAATAAGCGATCAATAGGCTGTATTTAAAGAAAAGCAAGAAAAAAAAATTCGGAAATCTCACTTTTTCAGTTTTCATTTATCAACAATTTCAAAGTTTACATGTGCATACAATTTCCAATATTGTTGCAGAGATGTATTTTTTAATATTTATTGCGTTTTTACTGAAATATTCCAAATTTTGTTAATCGAAATGATTTACTTTTGGCAGAGAATTTCGCCTTGTGACAGATAACTTCATTAAATTATATTTAATATCTTTTTAACCAGTTAGTACTTGTATAATATTATTTGATCAAATATTTCCTCTGTATCTAAACTTTTGCAAATTTTAAACAAATTCTGAACATTATTTCCATGTGTTTTTGAATCGACGTGATTATACGTCTCCCATAAAAACACATGTGAATTCGATGCAAATTAAAATCCTTATAACTTGTGAACGTTTTAGTGAATCAATTTAAAAATTGTATTGAAGATTCCAAACATATGTAAGGACATTCTGTACAATTTTCATTAAATTCTCAATATTTTGATAATAGGTACACAACATTTTTAAGGGAAGAAAATTCCCAGGTAGAACATGAAATTCATAATGACATCATTATAAGGGCCACCTAAAAGTCATTTTAGAAAAATCATAATGATCGCATTTGATATACTTTTGGCAATGTTTTGGTGACTTATTTTTGACTTATTAAACAATTCCAGCGAATTCTGTTGGAGAATATATATACTTCACGTATGAAATCTCAAGAATCAATTATAATAATATCATTTTTTATATATATTTTATATATATTACGCAATTACTTGTTTATTTAATTATTCATGTATATTTTAATTATATTTAAGTAACATAATCTTTTTAAAATTATATAATGCGATTATGAAACTTAAAAATTTATAATTCTTTTTGTCATCTTTAACTCATATTTTAATCATTTTTGTTCAGGTAACTTTTAAGTGATAAATAAAATCATGACGACGTCATAATGATATTATGAGTTTCATGTTCTACCTGGGTAATAATAACATTTTTTATATATATTACGCCATTACTTGTTTATTTATTTAAGCAACATAATCTTTTTAAAATTATCTAATGCGATTATTGAACTTCAAAATTTATCATTCTTTTTGTCATTATGAGTTTCATGTTCTGGATAATATCATTTTTTATATATATTACGCCATTACTTGTTTATTATTTAAGCAACATAATCTTTTAAAAATTATCTAACGCGATTATTGAACTTCAAAATGTGTAATTCTTTTTGTCATTATGAATTTCATGTTCTACCTGCATAATAATATCATTTTTCGTATATATTACGCAATTACTTGCTTATTTATTTAAGCAACATAATCTTTTGAAAATTATCTAATGCGATTATTGAACTTCAAAATTTATAATTCTTCTTATCATTATGAGTTTCATGTTCCTGGGAACACCATATCATTCCTCATCGAAGCATCATCGTGTTTCAAATCGAGCGCGCTTTCGCGGCAGAGGGCGCCGCGGGCGCCGAGTGCGTTAGTCAAGTGCATTGTTCGTTGAAAAACGGATTACGCCGCGTTATGTCCGTCGAGTCCTAGTTTTTTTTTTCACGCGGGGCACCCTCGCTCGAATATTCGCGCGCGACGCGACGAGTTATGCAACGTGCGCCGCGTAAGGACGGCCCGCGCCGGCCGTTCGGACATCGCGGCAGCTGACCTACTTCGAGCCCGAGCCATCGGTCGTATCCGACACGGCGGCGGTGGCGGCGGCGGCGGCGGCGGCGACGGCGACGGCGGCGACGGCGGCGACGGCGGCGGCGGCGGCGGCGGCAAATCGACCGCCCCTGGTGGAGAGGAGGAGAGGAGGTAGGTGACAGGCGGGCTCGCTCTCGGCCGAAAAGAATCGGCGAGAGACACACGTGGATTTACGAGATTTACAGGAGATTAGAGAGGAGGGGAGGGGGGACGACCTGTCTTTTTGGAAATTGCGTCTTTCCGCCCGCGAGAGCCGAGCTCGATGGGGCCAGTGCCGTAGACCCCCGGAACTGGCCGGGGGTGCCGGCTCGTTCGCGAGACGAGAGTTCTCTCTCTCTCTCTCTCTCTTTCCGAAAGAAAGAGAAGATCCGATGGCGCGTCGTCTGAACGAGCGAGGTTGCGCTTCCGCGATTAGGTTTTCCCTTTCGTTCGGCCACTGCCGTATCACGTTAGGTGGATAGGCGCCCCTCGCGGCACCTCGACCCGATAACGTCGTCGATCGCGGATCGGGAGCGAACGCTTCGCGCGCAGTCGACGATTATCGCGCGCTCACGTGACACGCGGTCCGGGCTCCCCTGCGCTTATCGCGGTCGTCCGTCTTCGGGGCTCGCGTTTCCCGCCACGAAGGCGAAAACGGAAGTCGTGTATCCGCGATAATCCGGTCTCGACGAGGGCGCGCGGAGGAGAGGAAGAGGGAAGACGGACGGAGCCGGGACATGCCGCGCGTGGCGGCTCTCGCTACGGCCCTGACAGCTCTCGCGCTGTCAGAGCGCGACAGTGCGCCGGACGCTCGCTTGACTAAGGGAGTGCCCGTGCCGATGCAAAGTGTAAGTGAAGTGGCCTACAGACCTACATTTGTCTAACGTTCCATTTTTTCACGGGAGGTTAACAGACACGCGCGCGCGCCGACTCCTCCATTTTTTCCCGTCAGCGTGTGGCGGGTGCGTGCGCGGTACGCGATGCCGTCGTCCCGTGATACACCGACGTACGACGGCTGACGACGGACGGTGGATAGATAGATAGATAAAGAGAGAGCGAGAGCGAGCTAGCGAGCTGAACCGAAGCGGCGGTGCAGTTTCGATACGCTTCGGACACGGTGCGGGGAGAGAAAGAAAGAGAGAGAGAGAGAGAGAGAGCGTGCGCGAGTGCGACAGAGAGAAGAGCGCGAGAGGGAAAGCGCGAGCGAGCGAGAGAGAGAGAGGGAGAACGAAGCGCGCGCTCCCGCGGAAGAGAGAGAGAGCGCGAGAGAGCACGTAAAAGAGTGTAGGTGTTCTTTGGAGGATAAGTGCGCGCGGGGAGGAGCGAGGAGGAGGGGGGAGTCTCGCCTGGCCGTCCATCCGTCCGTCCGTCCGTCTGCTGGCACACACGGGGGCCGAATGGCTGCGAGGACAGGGGAGCGCGGGGGTGAGCCCGCGACGACGATCCTCGACAACAATGCACCCGGCATCGCCGCGACGACGGGCCCTCTCGCGGAGTCGTCCGCGTCGTCGTCGTCGTCGTCGCCGTCGGCGTCGTCCTCCTCCCCCGCCGTGGTGGCGCCTACGGTGATCCTGACGGAGAGCGCCGGTGGCCTGTCCTTGACGGGATCGTCCCAGCAGCAGCAGCAGGGTCTGCATCATCAGGTACACCAGCAGCATCAGCAGACGCGACAGCGAGTCAATCTGATCGCCGACGTAGCCGCCACCGATGTCCCAGGTAACCTCAACGATTCTCTCCGGGGCCTTTGTTATCGTTAACGAGCCGCTTGCCTGCCCCCCCCCCCTCTTCCTCCCTCTTCCTCCTTTCGGCTTCGCTCGCTGTTCTCGTCTATCAATTTCTGCCCCTCTCTCTCTCTCTCTCTTTCTCTGTCTGTCTTTTTTTCTTTCTTTCTTTCTCCCCGCGCTTTTTAGTCTCGCACTCTCCGTCTGCCAGCGTTCCCCCCTCTCCTTTTCCCCCTCCCCTCTCTCTTTCCTCGTGTCTCGGGTCCTCCGTCGTCTGTTGCATCGCGCTGGTCCGAATGAATGGATGCTCGATCCACTCCCGAATCCGCAGATACTTGCCAAGTTTCCTCCTTTTTGGATAAACACGCGCGGAGGGAAATTAAAGGTCCTTCGGGACGTAAATGTTCTCCAGGACGTTCGTCGTAGTCTTGATTAGAGGTAAACTCGCCCGATGCGCCCCGTCGTCCGATTTGATTCGATTCCGAGTGCTCCCGGTGACGATTACGCCAACTTGACGGGCGGGAAACGCGATCCCTCTCTCGCATAATTTATTCCTACGCTTTGACAAGTGCAGTTTCACACACACGTAGCGGGGTTTTAACGGCGCAACAGGCGTTTCCGAGGAAATCCCTCACGAGTCGAAACTGTGTTCGTCGTCTCGAATTTAGAACAGACAGCCTTCGAGCTTTTTTTTTATTTTTTTCTTTTTTTTTTCTTTTATGAACGCTACTCTGCTGGTTGCACCGACCCTTCGCGGGCAAAATAGCGGTTCGTCGAAACGAGACTCGTCTTTATTTACGTCGACACTGCCCCTCTCCTTTTTCCCCTCCGTCTGTTCCTCTCTTCTGTCCCTTTCTCTCTCCCTCTCTCCCTTGTCTTTGCGCCTTTTCCGCTCTTCCTTTCCCTTTCCTCTGTCGCAGCGAAAGATTGCGAGACAAGTTTTTCTGACACAATACCATACAGGCACGATTACCTCTTTTCGAGGCTCCTTTTCTCCCCTCCTCGTCGCT